TGATGGTCTTAAGGATCTTACCCAACCTTAATGATTCCATGGTTCCCTTTGGAAGAAAGGCTGGAAACCCACCACAGCCTCCTTGGGTGGGAACAGCTCTGTAAAGGGAAGGAAAGGTCTTCCAAGGCCATTAAATGTGAGCTGAGGAACGGGAGCGCTCTTCTGTGTGGAAAAGGAACAGAGTGCTGATACTGATTCAAATATTTCTCTTTGCAGAAAACGCCCGCAAGAAGCAGGATGGGATCGTGAGCACCTCAATTATTTGTTTCACTGACTACTGTCCCCCCCTGCCTCCGAGCTCCCCGTCTGTGCTGAAGCTCAGGAGCATCCTGGACCTCAGTCCCTTCACGGTGACGGACGAGACGCCCATGGAGATCGTGGTGGACATTTTCCGCAAGCTGGGATTGCGCCAGTGCCTGGTCACTCACAACGGGTAGGAGGCCTGGGGCCTGGGGCCAGAACCCCCTGCTCCCAGGGCACAGGGGACTGGGATCCAGCTGGGGCTGGATCTGGAGCAGCTCTTGCCTGGCAAAGGCACTTGTGACAGCCCAGCTCTGAGCCCTGTCCAGCCTGGCCCAGGACACTTTGGGGATGGGGCAGCCACAGCTGCTCTGGGAGCCTGTGTCAGTGTTTTACCACCCTCAGAGGGTGCAGTACTTTCTCTGGGGTGTCACTTTGAACTCCAAAAGACTCTTCGGCACCTGCAAGGGGCTCAAGTGGCCTTGCCAGGGTCCCTTCTGGCAGTGTGGGTGCATTAAAAGTGTTTTTTCATTTTTCAGGAAGCTGCTGGGGATCATTACCAAAAAGGATGTACTAAAGCACATTGCACAGATGGCCAACCAGGACCCCGATTCCATCCTCTTCAACTAGAGGCAGACTGTAGGGATTGTGTGTCCCACATACCTGGAACTTTCTAGCCCATCCTGGGTAGACTTTCCTATTTTTATTGAGACCATGGAACTGTTTCCAGCATTTTCCTCCATGGAGCTGAAGAAGATATTTTTTTTTCTACCAGATAACGAATTGCACTACGGAATCTGTGGAACATGATCTTCTTTTTAGAAGAGAAAAAAGAGACTTTATTTACGTTGCTTTTGTGAAGTTGCGTTGGAAAGATTCCATGAAGGAGTAAAAGCAAAATGTTAGAGAATTGTATTTCCTCCTCTTCTTTTGTTGGAACTGCTGTTACGAATGTGGGGAGGAAAAGCCAAGGTGTTTGTGCACTTCCAGAGGTGTGGAGGGAGCAGTATTGAGGTGGTGGCAGAGGGACAGGGCTGGGCTCAGGGTGGTGTATTCCCACTTGTCCCCTTGGGAAAAATCACAACCTTGGGAAGCCAAAATAGGGGAGAGAAAAAGAAAATTTAGCTGGCTGAGGCTGCTTGGCTGAAAGAAGGAAAAAAAAAAACCCAGTAGACCAACCCCCTTCCCCCCATCAGATCTCCTTAAAATGGGGCCCAGTTTCTGATTGGGAAGATGCTGGTTTTGATTAATTAGTGAATATATTAATTACCCTGCCACTGCCTTGTCAGAAGAACCCCAAGGAGGAGATAAGAAGAGTTCACAGGTGTCTTCCCATGCTGCTGCCTTTCTCTGATCCATTCCCAAGGATTCCTTCTCTCTGATTTCCCTTGAGCACTGATTTCCCAGAGGCTGAGTCCTGAATTCCTGCCCTTCCCCAACCCCGGTGGTGCAGGACGTGGCACAGGCGGCTCCTCCTCACCCTGTCCCGCTGCAGAGCCCGGTGCCAGGGGCACAGATGTGCTGTCCCTGCTCCCTCCTGGCCCTGGATTCCAGCAGGGAATTCCCAGGTCTCCTTTGGCCAACAACTATGCAAGAAACCCTTCCCACCACAGCCTCCTGTGCTCGGTCCCTGTTCCAGTGCTGACCAAAGGATTCTCCTGTACATAAAACTGTGCCCATTTACTGGAATTTGGGAGGCTTCTGGCTGCCTTGGGAGACTGATGCTCTTCATCCTGGCCTCAGTTTCATGTTTGTGGGCAGTGGCAACTTCTGGCTTGACTTGGCTGGGTCCCTCTCAAAATCTCTCTGATACAAACAAATTCCTTGTGCTTCCAAGGAGCAAAAGCCAGATTCTTGATCTTCCAAAGCCATCCAGCAGCCAGTCCCTGCTCTGCTGCTTCCACCTGATGTCTCAGTCCTTGTACAGCTCAAAGCTGCTTCAACCTGAGATGTCACTGATGGATTCAGTTCCTTCTGCTTGGGAAATAAATGCCTAGACTGATCTGTGTTGGTTTTGTGCAGCAGGAGATGGTGGAAATTCATGTTTTGCCTCAGCCCATGCCAGCAACAGTTGTGCCTTTAAATGCCCTTTTTTCTGTTTGGAGGGCAGGTGGATGCTCCTGGGAGCTCGGGCTGAGTTCAGGGAAGAAGCTGCCTTCTCCCAGTGCCCTGGGAGCTCCTTTCTGGGAGTGCCTGTCCTGTGTACTGCTCTTCCTGGGATAGCAGAAACACAAAGCTTTTCTATTTTCTCCTCACCTTACCATACTCAGGAGGGTCCCAGCTTTGGGAAATGTGGTCCTGCTTCAATTAGATCCATGATCCATGAGTGGATTCCTCTCCTTGTGGGAAGGCTGCAGCAGCCAGTGCAAAGGTAAGGTGCCAAAAGGGAAATCCGTGTGCAGGGTTATCCCAGATGGACCATCCCAGCTGGCTCATTCCAGCTGCTCCCGGGGAAGGAGGGCAGGGAGCAGCTGTCAGAGGGAATTGCAGCTGCTCTGCCAAATGGGGATGGGAGCCTGGGGCAGGAAACACCTGCCCAGCAGCTCCTGGCTCTCCTCAGCTGCTGCTGTGTCTGTGCCATGCATGGTGTCTTCAGTGGGAGAGGTTTCCTGGATGCTGCCTGGAGAAAGTGCAGTCCGGGAGGGTGGGAGTGGGAAGGGCAGGGAAAGCTCAGTAGGGCCGGGCTTTGGGGGCGCTCCCTTCGGGTGCCAGCAGGGCCTGGAATGCTCACGGTGCCAAACTCGCAGCTCTTGAGAGAGCTTTGCCCAGTCCAGTTCTTGCTCTTCCATTGCTTCACTGCAGGAGGAGCCATGTGGTTCCCTTCGGCAGACAGACAGACAGACGGGGATGCAGGACAGAGTTGGGGAGGTCCATCCACTGCATCCACTGGATGAGTGACCTGGAAGGACCGGGAGGGGGTTTGCAATATCCCATTTATGGCCCATGACTTTGGTGGCCACTCTGGGACAAGGCTGGGTGCACTCGGCTGTCGGATGCTGGAAGGGCAGGGTGGGACTGCAGGGAGCCGACTCTGAGCCTCCCACTGAGCTGATCTTAAAGTCCCAACCCAAACCAGTCTGGTTTCTTGGTTCTGTGGAATAGTGCAGGGATTTGAACAGGACACAAAATGAGGAATTTTCTCTAAATGTGGGATTATTCCTTCCCGATGTCTCCAGCTTGTCTCACGGGGCAATAAAAGGAGCAAGCATGGTGGGTGAGTGGTGCGGGATGCCCGCGCCCGGCTGGGGCTGGCTCAGCGCTTCCCTCCCTTGCGCTGAGCTCCCTCTGCCGCGGGCAGAGCCGGGGCCGCTGAGAGCGAGGGGGAAGCGGGGAACGGCCCCGCTACTGCCGGGAGCCACGGCCTGCACCGGAACTGCTCCTGGAAAGGAGAGAAATCCCTACAACTGCTCCTGGAAAGGAGAGAAATCCCTACAACTGCTCCTGGAAAGGTGGGGCCGCGGGAAGGGGGCTGGGAGCAGCACAGCTGGGATGGGACTGCAGCAAACGGCCCTTCCAGGTCCTTCCGAGCCAATCCTTGGGATTGCTCAAGGGATGCGCTGAGCCTCGGGCCTCCCCTGCCCTCCCACAGCGCCCCAGCATCAGTGTTTTCCTCAGGGCTTAAGGAGCATCCCGCAGCCCCACGAATCCTCCGTGCTGTAGGAAAGAAGCTTCAGTTTTGTTTCCCTCATCTTTCAGGCTGAATTCCCCCCGGGGTGCGGTGGCTGGTGGGGTGCCCTGGGGCAGAGCGAGGGGCGCTGCTGGGCTCACACCACTCCCCGCCGCTGCCTCCCTTTGTGTGCTTTATTTACAGTGTCCCAAGGAATGATTTCCTGCCGAGGTGACGTGGATTTCGGCGTGGATTTCCTCTCTCTTCTGTGAACTCGAGCCAGGCTGGGGACTTGAAAGTAAAACAAGATCGTGTCTGGGCAGGGATGGAGACTTGGAAAGAGCAATGAGCTGGTTTATAACAACAAAGAAGGAAAAAAAGAGCCTTTGGCCCAGGATTTATTTAGACACGAAGGCCCAGGGCTATGAACGCCCTGGGCTGAGGTAAAAGCAGCTCCTCGGCAGTGGAGATAAGAGGGTCCTTTGGCAGCAGCTGCAGGAAGCACTTTGGGTCTGGATTGAATCCACAGGGCGAGGCCATGGGAAATCAGGTCAGTGTACAGATTTTATTAGTGCTGCAATCACCCCCCCACCTCCTAGGCTGGGTTAGAGCAGGAGGGAATCACAGAATTCTGCAATGGTTTGGGTTGGAAGGGCCATGGAGCTCCTCTGGCTCCACCCTTGCCCTGGCAGGGACACCTTTCACTATCCCAGGCTGCTCCCAGCCCCATCCAGCCTGGCCTTGGACACTGCCAGCGATCCAGGGGCAGCCCCAGCTGCTCTGGGCACCTGTGCCAGGGCCTCACCTCTCTCACAGGGAATTTCTCCCCACGTTCCTTCTGACCCTGTCCTCCTTCAGCCTGAGGTGTTTAGGAAGGGCCGGGGGGCTCTGAGGCTCTGTCACTGCAGGGATGTGTTGCTGCCTGGGGAACTGGAGCGCTTGGTTTTGGGGACAGGGTCAGAAGGGATAATGGGGAGTTGTTTATTCTTGTGGCTGTCCCCAGCCTGAGGGAGGTGCTGGCAGAGGAGGCTGCAGAGTTGGTTTAGAGACCATTGACTTCGCTTTCGAGCAGGAGTTACAGTGAACTTGTCAGCAATACACACGCTAAAATAGTGAGTTGTTATTTCTAATAAACAATTTTAACAATAACAGAAAAGTTGTGTGAGAAATCTTTAGTACTTTACTCCATTTGCACAGCAGATTTTGTTTCTTTAGTCAGAGAACAGTGGTGTGTCCTCATCCAGGTCTTTCCACACTTTGTTCTTTCTGTCCTGGAGCACGTCCTGGGAAGGTACTGTTGGCACAGGTGCCTCAGGCAGTTTTTGTGGAGGCCAGGATTTCATGCTGCTGGTTGTCCTGCTGGTGCTGATCCCCTTGTCCAGGAGGGAGCCCGGCCTGGCCAGGCTGGGGGTGTCCAGTCCTGGAAGCACCAGGGAGGGCAGTGGGGGAGGCAGAGGGGCCACAGGGACTGAGGCTCTTGGGGTAACCTGTGCCAGCTCCTCACAGTGAGGAATTCCAGCTGGGCTCTCCCCAGGCAGGGTGAGGCTGCTCTTTGCCCTGATGCTGCTGGAGATCTCCTTGTCCCATCCACCCACCCAGAGCGCTCTCCTTTCCAGGAAAGCGGGGTGGGCCACTGCCTGCTGGCACGGAGCCCAGCTCTCCCCACTCACTGCTTTCCCTGCTTCCTCCACAGCAAACACAGCCTCTGCTGGCTCCCTTGGGCCCTGTTAAACTCCCTTTCAAAGGAAATCTTGGAACCACCTGCTGCATTTCCTGTAGTCCCTGCTTCAGCTTTGCTCTCCCATGGCTGCTGCCAGAGGCAGGATAAGCTCGGTGCTCCCGGGGGTGTTTGAGACCTCAGGGTGTCAGGAGGCCTGCTGAGGGTCACCGAGGTGGCTGGGACAGCAGGAGGGGGGGATGAGAGCTGGAGGAGAGGGGATGGTTTTAGAATGGAGGGGTTTGGAGCACTTTTTTTGCTTTGGGCAAGAGCCCAGTGTGCTCCAGGGCCAAGTGCTGCAGAGCCAAGGCTCGGTTCAGCTCCCTCCATCCTTTCAAGGGGACGGGGAAGATGGGGCTCTGCCAAGGGGGGATCAGCCCTGTCACCCCTTTGGAGGCTGCACGAGGCTGCTCTTGGTGCTCTCTGGCTTTGGATGAGCTTTTGGAGGTTCTGGATGGGCTGGGGAATCTTCCCTTGCACTGGGGCCGGTCCAGGTGCTTGAGTGCAGGTGCCAGGGTGGCACCGTGCTGTGGGGGCTGTACCAACCCCCTGGGGCAGGAGCCTGCAGGAGATGGGGGCTGGAGAGTGGGAATGCCCAGCAGCTGGGGAGGGGGATGTGGGAACTGCCTGGCTCAGCCCCAGCCCCGGCCAAGGACGTGGAGGGCCGGGAGTCAGGCCTGGGAAGCT